GTTGACCCTTCTGGAAGATACCCCGTTGTTGGTTTTTGGCGAGCCGATTGAGTTGTGGTCAGCGCTTTGTATTGTTTCTCTGCCATGTGTTGCAAGCGCCAAAATGGAATGAGTGATACGAGATGACGTGACGCTTTGGGTTTGATGTCTTGTCTGTGCGATGTCTGTGGGGATTGTTGATTCGAAAGCATGAAAGAGCGAGCATACAAGTTGTTTGAAGGCTCTCGGAAGTCCTGATTGAAGCGTGGCTGGGTCCAGGTTGATCTGTGGACGGACAATATTGAGCATGAGCAAGAGCAATGGAAGAGCGTGAGCATGAGAGCCAGACTGAGACTATCACTGCCACTGCCAGTGTGATTACGAGTGCGAGAGTGCGAGGGTGCGAAGCAGGGACAGAGGACTGTGCTTCAAAAAGCCTTTGATTGAATGACACTATCGATTTTTTCAAGTTTAGCCTCTCCATCTTTTTCCTCACTGGGTACTTACCTACCTAGTACCTTGCTACCCCAGCCCCAAGGGCAAAGAGACTTCTGACCCCGAGTCCCCAGCAGCTAGTTCACTAAGTTGCCCTTGTAATTGGAGATCTACAATAGACCCTGTCGTCCCCCGTCTACGTACCTACCTGACGGAGTACGGTACCGACCACGTGGTAAATGAACCTCCACCCGTCATGTTTCCCTCTTTTGCGGACCCAAAAAACAACAACTCGTGGCTTCTCCCTACGAGTTGGCATTTATGTCACCTATTACCTACAGTGTTCTCGTGACTCGTACTGGTATACTCGGTATTCCGAGATACGCCCTCTCCTCCAAACACCCACACCCCCCCCCCCGGTCCTTTTTTTTACTCCAAAAGGAGAAACAAATCTTCATGACCCGACGGGTGTAGCTCGGGTGAAAAGTTCTGGGTTGTGCCTGCCGCCATGGGGGAGAGAGTGTGTGTGCTCGGTATGTGTTGGGAGGATGAGTGAGAGACAGGGGGAGAGTCTTATGAATGCTCTTACGACGTTGAAACAGAGCGAGGGGGATTACAATCACATAGGGCTGTCACATTTCACGGTATCAAAAACGTATGAGAAAGAGAGAGAAAATAAATAAGAGGCGTCCACCCGTTTAGTGTCAAGTACCCAGTCAGTCAGTCAGTAGCTTCAGGAGTACTTGCAATAACGGAACAATTGTATTTTTTTTTTTTTCTGTAAATGCTCGTTTCTCTCCGAGATACTTTGGTTGATAACTCTCTTCCTAAGGGAGGAGAGGAAAACGTACAAACACCTCCCGAACCGGACATCGTCAGTAAATGCTCGGGCTTGGGATATCTTTCGGGATCGTAACCGAAACGGGAGCGCAAATCGCTAGAACGGTGTTTGATAGAGAGAGAAAAGCCGCATTCTTGATTAGATTTCCGGCCTCAGAGCGTCTAACCAATGGTACGAGAAAGCTACGTTGTCGTCTTCTCCGGCTGCTCCGCATCCACAGCCTTGTTCTCGTGGTGGTGTTCCCCCAGGATTTCCTTTTCCATGTGCACGGCCGTGTGATTCGTCAAGTATTCCGAGGCGTCCTTGATGAAGAGGGCGGTGATGATGGCGATCACGCCAAAGGGAATCGTGCTGTAAAAGACGCGTTGGTATGCGTATCCATATGCCGACTTGTAGGCTTCCGCGGTCGCTGAGATGAGAGCCGGAGAGGCACCCTGAATTTTCGCAAATGCGTCGGGGATTCCTTTCGCGTTGTTCGACACGGCCGTCACGAGGCTTTTGACCGCGGCTTCGTCGCCTTGGAATCCGTTGGCTGTCGCTGCTTTGACAATGCGCGGGACCAGTTGGCTGTTGAGAACGCCATTTCTGATGGTGTTGAAAATGGCGATACCGACGCTGCCTCCTGTGTTGCGGAAAGTGCCCACCAATCCCGACGCGATTCCGAGGTCTTTGTGTGGCACGTGCAGACCGGCAACCACGTACGAGCAGAGAGTGATCCATGAGAAACACATCATGCCGAAAAGTTGGAAGATGACCCATGCGGTCTTGTGGTGCGGTATGATTCCATAGGCATACAGAGCCGAGAACAGGGTCTGTAGGAAGAGGGCGAAGACGATTTGAGCCCGGATATTCTTGATTTTGTGAATCAACGCAGGTAGGACTGCTCCTCCAATGAATTGACCGACACCATTCGGGATCAAGGCGACTCCGAGCTTGATCGGATCGCTGTCGTAGACCGACTCGGTGGCTTGAGGTAGCAGGGAGACCATGGCGAAAAAGACCATTCCCGAGACGAAGAGCGCTACCAATAAGATGGTGAATTCCCGGACCATGCGGAAGATGTGGAGCGGCATCAATGGGAGCTTCGGTTTCATGGTCCAGTCATAGACAAACGAGCCAATGAATGTCAAAGCACCAAGAACAATAGGCGCTACCACAGAGGCAGAATGCCATGCGTGGCCTTCTTCGCCAGCCCAACTCATTCCAATGAGGAAAACAGTCAAGCCACCGGCGTAGAGCAAGTAGCCCACAAAGTCCAGCTCCAGGAACTCTTCCCATCTGGTCTTGTCGTAGTCTTTACGTGGGCGAGCCGGTGGGAAGTAGAAGATGGCCGTCCCAACCAGACAAACCGCAGAGTAGATGATGGATAGGTAGTATACCCACCGCCATGTCGCGTGTTCGTTTAGTTGATTGGCTATAAGAGTGGCAAGCAGACCCCATGGGAGAGTAATGCAGAATTCAGTCCATGCCAAACCCATTCCACTATTTTCCAAGTCAGCGATTGCTCGAGGGGCTTTCCACTGCAGGCAGAAAGACAGCTGTGGGGAAGTGCACGCGAAAAGTTAAGGACTCACCGGTACTTGTTGGGCAGAATTTCGGGAATGCCGGCGTAAGCGACAAAGATCAAACCAGCACCGAAGCCAACAATGGCAGACCCAGCAATAACATGCTTGGTGGTTTGAGCAGTGGCCGCGACAATACCGCCAACAATATTGAGGCCTTGCCCGGCCATAATAACGTAGCGACGACCAAATATGTCGCTCAGACCGCCGCCGAGGGACATACTCACTGCTGAGGTGGTTGCCCAAGAGGAGGCGATCCAGCTGATCGGTTCCAAGTCACCCAATGCGGTGCCGATTGGGACCAAAATGGACGATGCCAGGAGGAATGCAGTTGAAATACATCCCGCGAAAGACAAGCCCATGAACTATTTTGCACCATTTGGGTCAGCCAGCTCCATGAGGGCCAGGGTAAGGGCGGTTCTTGTTCTTTGAAACTTACAAAGACGGCCATGATCGTTGACCAAGTGACACGCTGAGGACTCTCGGGGTTGTCCTCGAGAGCAGCTCGATGAGGGTCATCCTCAATGTCCTCGGTGCTCTCCTTTCGAATCGCCGCCACTTCGCTATGCCTTGGGACAGCCTCTATCTCCTCGGTCTTATTGGCCATCTCTTTGTTCGCAGCTTCTTCTGACATGACGTTCACAGTGCTATGCTTCCTCGAGGATGACAGGAGAGTGTCTCTAAAGGAGAAGATCAGACCACATATCAGGCGGATATGGGATGTATTTGCATTTGAGACCCCAGACCCCAGACAGTCATTCCGGGGAAAGGACGGGGACGACCCACGACACAGGCATAACTTGGGTCCAGCTGTATTCGGACGGCCTGGCTCCGTGGCGCGTGCGATAAGAGGGAATTACTCTGGGACGGTACGGAGAGTGACCGGTCGTGGCTGATTTTGTTCCACAATACTTTGCTTGGGGTGGACGGCATGTGCGGGGAGAAGTGGTCGGGGTCCCCAATTAGCTGCTGCTATTCTCCGCATGCTTGACTGAGACGTGAGTACATGAGCATCAAGGCTGGAGGTGGTTGAACCAAAAGCATTGGATGGGAGGTTGAGTTGCCTATGCTGTGGCTGGAGGAGACATGTTCGAGCACAGCTACCACACTTGCAGCTCTATATCCGATGAGCAGACTTGCCGTGTATGGTGTTTGCCAGAGGTGAAATGAGAAACACACACTCCAAGTTACTCCAAGCAATATGTATGTACGAGGCCGAAATGTGTGCTAATGCCAAGGCGCTAATGCCGCGGAAGCATCCGGAAGCTTGCAACCTTAAATTTCCTCTCTCTCGAAGCAATTAATCCAATGTCCGGCCACCCATTCAAAAGCACCCCAAAGTCATTTCCTACCGCCCTCGGCCGCCCAATACTACCCGCCCTGTCCCCGGCTACTCTACTTGCACTTTATGTATGGATTCGGTACAAGGAGGGTTTCGTCGGATTCTGTGCCTACCAATGCGCTCGGCTGTCGGCGCCTGAAAGTCGATTTCGACACCGGGCAGAAGCGCCTGTTCTACCACTCTTGGCGTCTATTGAAGCCGGGGTGCCTCACATCCCTTTTTATTCCCTCGGGTAAGGATTGGTATACAGTGCCGCCGGCACGTTTGACCTTTCTGCGAATGGAAATATGCTGCTTCGATTGTCGCGTAGGATCCTCTCGGATATGCGTAGCCACCGTACCCCCCGGTCAAATCGTCCAGCTCCGGGAGGAATACTAATATTGACTTGGACAATGCTCTCCATATCAGAGGACGCTGTTGAATCCGACCATTCCACCGACAAAGAATTCGTTCTCCTGTCGCTCGTCGGTGAATCATTGGTGGTTGGAGGGAACAATATCAAGAGAGACCCTTTCATTCCATAGAGAACAATACTACGCACCGGGCTTTGTCCTGGCCCGGTAGAGCACCCCCTTTTCTGACCATTTCCCTACCCATTCCAGCACTTTCGCCTTGTGAACCAATCTCGAGGGTACCTTGGCTTTTCGAAAGCGGTTGGATACGTTTGTTCGAAGCGCTCTCTTCTACCTCTCAAACAAAGACTCGTTCTAAAAGAGTTCGATCACAGGTATCGTGCTGTAGTCGGTACATAAACCACAATGATGGGTTTCATATCTTTCTTGGACAAGCTTCCAGACTCAAGGTATTTTTGTATTGACAGTCGCGCTAACAGACATCACAAATGGTTGTTCTTAGACACGCAGTGGTCTTCTTGGCCTCCCTTGCTACTTTGGCCGCCACTACTCCTGCCTCTGCTCAATGGCTAAAAGCAGATGCCTCGGCCGCTGGGGTCGCGCAGCATGGCAAACCCAGTGGCACTTCTGCGGGTGGTGACAGGGGTGCCCACGAAAACGGGGATTGGCAGCAATCTGCAAAGCAGCAAGACGAGAAAAGTGAACGTAAAAGCTCCTTCCAGAAGGATGACGACACCGGTAAAGCAAATCGCCATCAAGCCCGCGGCGAGGCTGGGCAGGCTCCCCACCGAGCCTTTGCTAATCACAAGGGAGTTGATGGCCCTCAGCATAAGCCCGAGGGGGCCAAAGAAAATGACAGCAACTTCAAACAACACCACGCACGCACAGCGGATGTTTTGGGGACACTTCGGAGGATGGTTCAGAAGGAAGATGACCACGCTAAACGGCCACAAGACGGTGATCGCGACAGTAATAGTCAGCGCGGTGACGGTGATCACGGCCATGGTAATGAGGACCATGGATCATATAACGCAATGGATGATCGCGAACATGGCAAGGGCAAACAACACGATGCTAGGGCGACAACCCAACGAGGAGTCTATGAGTGTTCAGGCCAAAACTGGCAGCAGCCGTGTGTATGGACGCCATTAAAAGAAGGTCAATGTTACAACAGGTCAGTCTCAGACAACTAACCCAGTGAAGAGATCAGCCTTGATAGTATCATGCTGACTTGCTGTGAAATAGACGGTACGGACGTCTTGGCTCCATGGGCCCTGACAATGGCTTATCTTGCACCATCTACGAAGTCTCGGATTGCAACGACCATGGCTGGAACACTTGTGGGCCGTTCGTGTGGCCGGGGATCAAGAACTATCAGATCAGCAAGTTGCTTCTTGACCACGCCATGTCTGCGGATGGTCCAATGAGCATCAAGTGCAAGGTCAGTGTGTGTCTCTGAGTTGAGGATGGCGGAATGATGCTGACGAGTAACAGTTTACCTAGTGGGCCGTAACTGCGTGACCGACTTGTGGGCGGTGGACAAGACAAGAGCTGAAATACAGACATCCAGGGTACATTTGCTGTGGACGCATGGCATGAACACCTGGTGGGATAGGTAGGGATGCTTGCTGTCTGGTTGTCATGAAGCCGACATGATAGTCAGATAGCCTTTCACCCTTCCATCCAAGTAGTCTGTAGACTCTTTCGTCAATGGGAACATCGTTATTCCATATATATATGCTTAACCACTAGATAATCCGTAGTGTGTGCTTGGTATCTATATTGTTGTTGTCCAGCCTTGTCACTCATCAAGGCTGAGATCCAACGCCGCCCAACTCGATGGCCAACTCCCGGCGCCACAAATTATGACGTCAATCATGTTTCGCCCATCATCCTCGCCTTTCGATCTTTGGCTCCAAATAGCCACCGACCCGATCTGCAAAACACCACATCCGTCATCGGTCATCAGGTTGACATGGGACTAGAAAGCCCGACAAGGACCAAGAAACAGGTTTCATACCACGGTGAGTCCACTTCGATTGGCCTGTTGGCCTTTTTGACCTAAACCCGTTTTTGCTCTGGCATCGACCTTTGTGCTCAATACGTTTGAGGTTCCTCGGGCTTCGAGGCACGAACTGGGGCTAGGGAGGACCCTTTATGACATCGTCACTCGTGCCTGCGTGCTTGCCAACTGCTATCATTCTCGCGGGGTGGGAAGCTACACAGCGACCCGCCACGATGGGCATATATATTCGTGACGGGTTCTTCTTCCCTCACGATTCTCCACCACCAAACTGAATATCAACAACCTAAAAAGCTCTTTATACACCCGAACACCCTTTGAATAATTTGAACAAAACCACCCAAGAGAAAAACCAAGATATCAAACGCAGTAAAGATGAACTCGCTCAGATCAGCAGGCCACTGGATCTCCAACAAGACCAAGGGCGGCGCCCACTCGGCCAGCAAGGAGACGAACAAGTCGTATGTTTTCCTTGCACCAGAGCTTCTCTGTTCCTGGCTGGAGCAATCGAGGATTGGATGCTGACGGAGTATTGTTTGCAGAATTGCCAAAGACCCCAATGTCCGTGCCTCGACTCGCGTACGCGCCGCTGGTAATGCCATGAAGGATAAAGTGCACGAGACGAACTATAATCGTCAGGCCGACGTGAATAGGCATGCCGCCAAACACAATTACTGAGATATCAGTGGCCATTATCGTTGTGTTTTTGTTTGATTATCTGAATATCAGTGGGCAGCGGTGGAATTGACAGATATTTACGGGAAAGAGTAAAATGATGAGCGTTCACAGGATGAGTTGTAAGCGGCACGCGACTGCCAGACTGATGATGATGTTGATGACACGATATCCTTGTACTACTACTATTGCACACGGTTGTTGTTTTCCATAGACCAAATTTGACGACTGGTTGAAAAAGACCACCACTTGAACCACCAGACAACCCATTTCTCGCTGTTGTTGCTCCTCTCAGCTCTAAGATTAATTTTGTTAGATAGTATGGTAATCCCCATTCAGACTAAGCGAGATCACTCTTGGGTAATGTTGAACTGGCGCGTAGCGGTGTAGAAGAGGACATGTGTAGAGTACGTCTATAACAACAGAGCCACCTGGAAATGACACGCCTGTCACCAATGGCAGCACACGGTATATTGTGATTGCTTTTGCTTCTGTTTGAAATCAGCTCATTGTCAGATATGTACATAATGCCGGGTCACCACCATTCGCAACCGCAACCATCGCAGGCAAAAGGCTTCCTCGTTCCTGGTTAGAATCATCCATCCTAGTCTTGTGTGAAACCCGATGTTCGGTATTCTCGCCCCTTGACGAATCCCACAATCTTGATGCAGGTAAGTAGGTCACACAACAGCCCCTTAATTTTTTTTATTTCGTCTTGATATGCTTCAACCTCCCGGGCTCGTGTAAGAAGTTATTCGCGTACGCCTTGGGCACGAACCTCCTCTCCTGCGGCTCCTGCACATACCACTCGTAGCCCTGTTTCTCGGCAAAGGCGATCGCGTCCTCTTTCGTCCGGAAGGTGACTTTGGTGCCTTGCATAAAGTCGCCCGACGACTGCCACCCCATCAGGGGATTCTCCCACCGGTGGCCCTTTCCCAGCACGTCCCAGTCCATCCGCCAGGCGTGGGAGCCCCAGGTGCCAGACTGAGTGGCGGGTTTGACGGGTTTGTAGATCCTAGTGAGATGTGAAATTGTGGTCAGTTTGAGGTTCTTTTCAGGCCTCGTGGTGGCAGCACGAAACAAAGCCCCAGGGATTTCGGATTTACCTGACTGTGCGAGCCTGTAGGTCCACGGGAGCTCCAGACAAGACGGCCGCGGGTGTGACATGCCCGGGCTCACTCCCGTTCATCACCCTCCTCGGCACGGGAGAATACGTCGATGTTCCGTGGTCGACCATCGCGGTATAATCAGGCTGGTGCTCGGGGTGATATTTCTCGACAGAGGGTTCGGGTTTGTGGTCGACCTCGACCATCGACGCTTGGTCTTCGGTCATCTGCATAGCTTGGACGTCCGGGATAGCTCGCGGGTCGGGTTCGCCTAGCCGTCGCTGTGGCGTCTGCGATAGGCATCTCGTCGTCAGCCTCGCGGCCGGGGTATAGGCCCGAAAGAGCCGCATGGCGCTCTGTGTGGGTAGGGGCGCCATCTTGGGTCGTCAATGCTCAATGGTCGACAGAAGCAGTTGAAGTTACGAAAATCGGAACGGCGAAGCGCAGTTGAGAGATGCCAAGCTTGCAGCTTCATCTCGATCGGGGATGAATGTGATGCCGCTCTAACGCGTAGCTTCTCCACTCCGTAGCTGCAGGTGGTTATACGATGCGCCGTTCGGAGATTCCCCCTCAACTATGAGGTACGGCGAAATACATCAACAGTCATTGGTCCAGTCCCTCTCAGAGAAACCATCCTGCGTTCGACAGGAGTGCAAATGAATTCACAATGGAGACACTCACGATGCCATGGTTAACATTGTATCTAGTTCGTCCACTCCCTGAGTCAAGTAGATTATTATTATTGTTGTTATTAATCGAGTAACATTAAAACCTCCTTAGTATTCTATATAGGTACTCAGAGGAATCGATGCACGATGGGACAATTGTTGACAATTCCTGCGTCGCTCAGCTCGGTGCCGTCGGGGTTCGTCACGTACCCGGCAGCGGCCATGCCCAACACCTCGAATTCGCCCGTCAGCCTGGTGCGGATGCCGTTCTCGATGCTGAAATTGGTCCACGCGTAGAGATTGAAGTTCCACAGAGGTGAGTAATCTGCAGCCAACGTGGATCTGTTAGCAAGGGCAAACAGATGGGAGGGTGGGGTGTGGTGATGATCATCTCCCAGAGCCAACATGTCTGCTCTGAGGGAGGGTGAAGAAGTGCATACGTACCATATGCGACGGTGGGGATTGCTCCGAGGATGTTCAACGGGTTCCCCTCTCCCAGGATTGCACTATTCAGACCTTGTCGCCACGGATGGTGGGTCTCGTTGTTCGGTGCACCAGGAGGGAGATCTCGATTTGTGTATCCGTTGGTATTCACGAAGAAACGCTCGATCCCGCTGAAAAGGGCGTCGTCGTCCCCCGTCGGGACGGCCGCCAAACGAGGTGCGTACGTGCCGCCGTCGAGCGTCGCGGGCAACGGGTCCGATCCGTCGGCGATGAGGTAGAGGACGGATTTGGAAAACGAGAACCCTCGGATGGTGGCGAGGGTGACGACCTGGTCTCGGGGACAGATGGAGAGGACTTGATCGTGGGCTTTGCTGCGAAGATCGGCTAGCATCGCTTCGGGAATACCGTCGCAGAACTAGGACGAGAACATCCTTTGGTTAATATTCGTCTCGGTCCCAGAAATCACAGGGTCCGGGGCATACTTGGTTCAGATAGTCTTCATCCACATCACCTGCGACAATCTGGCTCGCTTCTGTTCAGCATCCTTTCTCCAAACTCTGCTGGATACATGTTACCTTACCGGAGCATTCCATACTTCGTAGCCGGCATTGGTCAACTGGATCAGCGGCGTATAGAATTTGTCTCCAACGCTGCCGGGCTGCACTGACTGTGGCGGAAACGGTGACGGATTGCCTGGCACAATCTTTCGCTCAGGTGAAAAGTCGACCAGCCCTTTTCGGCCAAAAACAGCGTTGTTGACGATCTCCAGCTGTTCTGCACCTTTGAGCCCGTCGCCAGTCTGACCTTGTGCGGCAAAGCGTAGTTTTGGGGCGAAGTTGACGCCGAGCTGCTTTGCATTTCCTTCATCCGACGTGTCTGTCACGATCCACCAATAGGTCTTGCCGTCTGCCGAAGTACCTTTGTACAAGGGCAACGTGAGGTTCGGGTTCACGCCGTAGTTGACGTGGCCGTTTCGAAGCAGATCAACAGGTCCGACCAACTCGTGCTTGTCGTACGAAGCAAAAGGGCCTTGGTAGCCGGCCTGGATGGCGGTCGCGAAGGAAGGGTCTGCAATGTCAATAGTCGGGTCGTCATATCCGGACTGAGGATCAGGATTGAATTCGGAAGGAAATGATTGCCGCCGATACAGAGTCCTGCTGACCACGGGATTTGCGGCAGACACGACTACCTGGAGAGAAAGCAGTATGGCAAGCTGAATCCTCATTTTGACACATCAGATCCGAGAGATTTGATGGGAGTCGCGAATTGAAGCAGCCTCTTCGCTATGGTTGCAAGTCCTTGGGTTTATATGTATGTGGCAGCCCACGCTTCTTTCTCCAGACATTCTCATTATTCAGCCCGTGCAAGGCCATGAGCTGCCGCTGGTGATTCCTAATCCCGGTATTTGTCAAGAATAGTCACCAGTTTCAGACGGGCAACAAAAAAGACCGGGAGGAATGAAGTTCCAGTGTACACATAAACCCCAAGCAGGTGTAGAAAAATCGGGCATCAACTGCCTGGACTTTCCCCAGGAAGTAGATATAGATTGATAATCTTCGCTAGTCGCAGTCCGTCCTAGTCCGTGGTATTCGATGAACTCGGTCGCCATCCAACAGTGCTTACTTTGAGGCGGTGCGAAGGAGGACTGTACTATCCGATCCACCAGTCAAAACTCGTCTCCAAGATATCGTTCTGGGCATGGTATTACCATCCTGGGTTAGATAATTAATGTCGGGCAGATACCGAATGATGATGGAATCATACTTTGTAGTTTAGGTCCGGGGTACCAGTGAGCCACTTTGTTATATATCTAGGTATTTAGCCAGACACGAACGTATCGGAGGCTCTTGTCGTACTATTTGCGTTGAAAGTTCACGATGCCTCCTAACCCAAACGCTATCTGAAGAAGTTCAACTCCATCTCTTAGACTTGTCAGGATCAATTGGAGGGTTCTAGCGTGGTAGATGTCTGACTTAGCACTCGATATAACTCAAGCTTATTGTAGAGGGCATGGAGATAATAAGTGACATTGATAAAGGGCCAAAGTACGGGTAGCGAGGGATTGTTCATTCATTATATATTCGTGCCCTTAAAGGATCACATCCTGGTGCAGAACTTGATACCTAATACCTGATACCTGGGCAATCTTTCCCACATCACCTTCCCTGCTCTCCCTTCATCGACCCTTGGCATCATACAGTTGTGCCACACGGTCTAGATGGACACCTGCTCGGCATAACCATCCAACTCTCGTGGGTAATTCCGATGCTGGGAGATGTTCCAGAAGAATTTGCTCGTAAAGTCCTTTGCCTCCTTCAACATCTTGATACTTTCCTTGACGCTGCTCCCAGAATCCGCTTTCTGAGCCGTGACGACTCCATACCAATCCACGATTCCGTCACTTCCGTCAGAAGACAGAGTCACATTCTCTACTTCGGTCAGGGCAGCATGGACCAGTTGCACCCCCTCGCCCACAGCGCCAATGGCTTTCAGGTGACCAAAAGCTTCTTTGACCCAAAATCGCGCGAGACCTATTTCCTTTAGTGTGTTGATGGAATCAGCGCCACCAGGGATAAACAAGGCGTCGAACATGGTAGATCGTTGGCCGTTGAGGAAGTGGTCGGGCTTTACCTGCGATGAACCATCTGAGGCGACGAGAGGCTGCCGTTTTGTCCCAATCGTCCAGGGCACAGCGCTCTGCGCCAGAACTGCCGCCTTCATAGCCTCGTACGCCTTGAGATCAAATCCGTCCGCAATCAAAATGGCAACACGCCGGCCTTTGATAGTTGGCTCCTGGGGCATGTAGTCAAATTGGCTGAGACCCTTGGCTTTTTTGCCGTGATTGGAAACCACCTGTGTCTCAGGTGTCTTTGCACCACAATTCTTGGCCACGGCCTGAGCGAGAGAGAGATCAATTTCTGCCAAGCGCGTCACAAGGCGCTCATACACTATTTCATCATCGCAGTGGTCTAGCTCAAAGGAGAAGGCCTCGATAATATGCTTCTTCTCAATGTCGGACATAGAATTGAAGAATAGTTGCGCTTGTGAGAGATAATCCTTCCATTTCTCGGTGAGTTTGCGCGCCTTGATGCCTGGATATTGCGCGGGGTACGATTCGAACCCTCCTGAACCACTATGGTTCGTTGGCGGGTTGGCCTCCCATCTGTTGGGCCAGTAATTGGCTTTGCCCTTGGTGATGGTATGGCGGAGCTGCCCATCTCGATTGAAGTTCATCACCGGGCAAACCGGGCGATTGATGGGTAGTTCTTCCCAGTTCACGCCTAAGCGTGTAATCTGAGTGTCTTGATAGGAAAAGTTCCGACCCTGGAGGAGAGGGTCTTCACTGAAATCAATGCCAGGGACGATGTGGCTGGTGCAGAAAGCCACCTGTTCGGTCTCGGCAAAGTATTCATCGACGTTGCGATTGAGTTCAAGTTCGCCAATGTAGCGGATAGGGACCTGCTCCTCGGGCCATAATTTTGTCGCATCGAGAATGTCAAAGTCGAACTTATCTTGGTCACCGTCCTTGATGCACTGCAGACCGAATTTCCACTTCGGATATGCGCCGTTTTCGATAGCCTCCCACAGATCTTTGCGATGAAAATCTGGATCTTGACCGGCCAACTTCAGAGCTTCGTCCCAAACAAGTGAATGGACGCCAAGCTCGGGGGTCCAGATGAACTTGCAATATGTTCTTTCCCCCTTGGCATTGATGAGAGCGAAGGTGTTGACGCCGAACCCCTGAATCATGCGGTAAGAACGGGGTATGCCTCTGTCAGACATCGCCCAGCAGAACATATGGGTTGCCTCTTGATGTAAGAATGCAAAATCCCAAAAGTTATTGTGGGCTGTTTGGCCCTGTGGGACTTCATTGTCCGGCTCTGGCTTGAGTGAATGAACGAGATCCGGAAACTGATGACCTGATTAGACTGTGATGTGCAACATTGTATTTTGGGTCTCTTACCTTGATGGCATCTTGGATGAAAAACACTGGAATCTGTGAAATACAGTTAGTCAATTGTTCTTTCGGCCAGTGAAACTTGCTTACATCGTTCGCCACAATATCCCAATTACCCTCCTCCGTGTAGAACTTGACAGCAAAGCCTCTGACATCACGCACAGTGTCTGCACTGCCTCTGCTTCCTTGAACTGTGGAAAACCGGACGAAGATGGGGGTGGTCCGCGAGGTGTCTGTCAATACGCCGGCGCTGGTGACATCTTCGGCGCTCTCGAATAGTTTGAAGTGACCGTGAGCAGCCGCTCCTCTTGCGTGGACAACTCGCTCAGGGATACGCTCATGATCAAAGCGGTGAATCTGGTGCGCGTTAGTGGGTAATATTAGAAAGAAGGTAGAGGAGCCTACGCGTTCTCGGGCGACCTGGTCTTCAAGGAACGAAGGTCCAATTCTGCCACTCTTGTCATCGGCAATCTTCAGCCAGTGGTCAACATCTGAAACTTTGGCACCCCAATCAGTGGTCGTGTTCTGCTTGGTATCTTGCTGATCCTTCTTGTTCTTTTCCAGGTCCGCGATCTTCTTGTTTTGAGCCATACTTTGGACAGACTCGGCGGCTGAATTTCCAATGTTTCGAACGGTGTTGGCGACGGAAGAGGCCATTTCCTGCATTTGTGGAGGAATCGAAACAGAAGAGAAGCGACGAACGCCAGATAAAAAGGAAAAGTGGCCAAACAATGAGCGGGGACTTCACTTGAGTCTTGACGCGTTATTACGCCTGGTCAAAACCGAGGGTCTCTGCCAATGATATCTCTGCCGATTGAAATCCTATATGCAGACTTTGTCCGGAAACTGTCAGCCAGCAGGTCGTTGCATCATAGCAAGCCGCGTGAAGGCGTCATTGGTAGCAAACGCATCAATGGCTCGACTACTTCCCCGTTTGGGCATTTGACGTAGGTAGACTTTGAGCACACAAGTTCCACATTACCCTGGTTCAAGTGTGTCAAGGAGTGAAGATTTCGTCATGGAAGACATATATTTGAAACATGGTATCCTTCAAATATGGTAATTTGACAGCGAGCACTATCAAGATCGGCCCCAATTGAGGCTCGTTGGTGAAGGTCAGACTCGGAAATGGAACCCGGTGGGAAAAATTGTTGCATCATGACGCGCATCAGGCAGTCCTGATTGGTGCGGAGCAGAAGCGGGGACTTAGAATGGCAATCTGTCATAGTATTTTGGTTTTGAATTGAGGAGGAGTCTTCATTGGTATGGCGCTGGTTGCTCCGTACAAGTAGAAATGAAGCAGCTGTGTAGATGAAGTTGTGTGCAGTTCGCACCAGTGGCAGCTTCGAGGGTTCCGGAAGAATGTTGGTCCGGGGATTTACTTATGACAAGGCTGCGTCCTTATGTCAGCAAGGCTATAAAAAGGCCCCAGTCAAGGCTGTATGCAAGCCTGAGATGGATTCAACCAAGTCCCAACTCACGGCCAGTTGATCACAAATGGTCTCGCGGTTCTTCCACAGACCGTACCCCAGATGCTCGCTCCGACCGGTGTCTGGACAGCCTGCGCAGGCAGGGGTCACTAGCATGTTTCAGCAATGGATTTCTCGAAGATTGCGAATAACTGGCTCTTCATGGCTAGTCTAGTTGACTAGAAGGGTGAATGTCGGTGTTGTCAGATATCACGCTTTACGACCCGTGACCAGGTCTTGGGAGGAGAGCCAGGCAATCTATCATGTAATAACCTCGGCGGCTGCAACTACAGTGGTTCATGGTTCGATGGACCTGGGGCAGGCTCCGGGGAAAATAGGGTTGGATAAGCGAAGGCAATAGGTGCCACAGATTGGCACGGGCGTCCTCGACTCCCTACAAGTACAGCCCACTTACCTAGAAGCTGCCGACAACGCCGAGTCGGCGATCTCCTCCCACGCCCGGAGATTCCCCAACCGCCAATCACGCCCTCACCCGAGTCTCGCCAGAGGCTTATCAGTTTGTCACTTTGTGTTGCTTCTGGTGTGGACTGTGTCGCGTGCAAATCCGCCCATCTTCATTTCCTGTCGGCCCCCGATCATGCGGCATTGTCTTTGGGGGTTCGGGCCCCTCCAGGCCTTGTCTATTGGAGCCCAGTGATTGACCATCTGACCTATTCTTACTCGTACACTCATTCCGCTATGTCATCTGCACATAATCGACCTGGGTGGTTCCCTAACTCCTTCGGCTCGTCCCTTTGCCCGCGCCGAATCAGCCTCAATCCTAAGGGTTCAAAGTTCCTATCTGAGGTTCCCTTTTCTGCCTCTATGGGGGGGAGGGGGGGGTGTGACTGCCTTATCGGGCTCCTTTGCTCTGTCCCACTTGTCTCTGTCATGTCAGTCTTCCAAACACGCCTGCGCTTCTTTCACACTGACTGCCACACTTCACGCTCCATCGTCGATACAGCCGATACAGCGCATTCATCGTTCTGCATTGTTTCTTCTTATTTACTTCGTGTTTTATAATCCCGCTCACGATATCATACGACAGCCCTTCCTCTGAAAGCACACCTTATTCTGGGATCGAACCCAGACTGCACAAAGTACGGGCGCAGAGTGCTGGTTTCCTTCGCAGCAACGACTGAGCGAAGCAAGATTTACCCTCTCAGGCCCTCAGGTCCACGAATCGAAACGAGACGAGATCGAACAGTGGCTCGGGCCTACAACGCGGATTTGCAGATGGTTCAACAGTGATGATAACCAAGTTTCGCTTTACATAGATGTTTACAACCCTCAAGAGCACTTCACGAAACGTTCAGCGATGCCTTCCTTTTACCCACCATTCTTGATGGCGTCCACTCTACCAGACCATTGCACGCCAACCTCTCCCTTCCTGTCCGAGCTATCGTTATACCTTGGCTTCTGCATACCCAGTCCTCTCGCCGCGCTCTCTACCCTCCTCGGCACACTTTCAATAGTGTCATGGCTATTCGCACAGATGCCACAGATTTTCAAAAACTACTATATCAAATCGACCGCCGGGCTGTCGATTTTCTTCTTGAGCGAGTGGTTATTAGGCGATCTGGCCAACCTCCTCGGCGCCATCTTCACCAAGCAAGCCGGCTGGCAGGTCATAGTTGCAACCTACTACGTCTTCGTTGATATGTGCCTAGTGTTTCAATACTTCTGGTACAGTTACGCCGCAAAGTGGATATATGAGGAAAGTCTCCATTCCACTGGGGATAGTGATATCGACGATGCAGACAGTGCCATAATAAACGGGCTGTCGCCCATCAACTCAAATTTCGGCAGCGATGCACCACTACCCGAGGACTCTAATGACTTTACTCCGAAACAATCGGATCCCAGAGACGTCAACGTTCCTCATTTCTCCGCGGTAAACTACCGTGAAAAGAAAGCAGCTCCCCAAGATATCGTCTATGGGGATAAATTTGGCTCGAGTTGGATTGCTTCGCCTTCGCCACGCACTCTCCTTTACGCCGCAACCATGGCTTCCATGGCCTCAAATGTGGCAGCTGCTCCAGTGGCTTTTCCTTCGGACCACTATGTCCATGGAATTCATCTCTTCCGTGTCGGTACTCCTCTTGAGGTCGCCGGCACTGTTCTGTCGTGGTGTTCTACCTTTCTGTACCTGGGCTCAAGATTACCTCAACTATACAAGAATTGGCAACGACAGTCAACTGCCGGCCTCTCGCCTCTTCTGTTCATCGCTGCATTTTGTGGAAATTTCTTTGTAAGTCTGCCTTCTCCCCGGGACACCGTGTCAGCCTTCAACCAGCTACCTTTGGCCCCTTCTGTCGCGCGTCTGTCAGTAAACTAACAAGGCTCAACAGTATTCTGCGTCCTTGATCACCAATCCAAATGCGTGGAATGACTACGAACCTTATGGACATCACGGCTGGGTAGACGCAGATGGGAACCAGAGATGGGCATGGGTAGCTCGAGCAGCTCCCTTCTTTCTTGGGGCTGCAGGAGTGCTAATGATGGACGCTTTGATGGGAGCCCAGTTCATCATGTATGGGGAGCGTGAAGACAGGATCGTGAAGGTAAGAGATTCACATGGATATAGCCACTGGGAGCGAGTCAATGGTTGGATGAGAGGTTGGATTCCCGCAATGGTCGGGAAGGACAGAGTGGTGGATATGGCTCAAAGCCAGCGATTATTGCATGAGAGCGGACATTTGAGTCTGAGTCGGAGACGAAGTCATCATCATGTGGACTACGGCACGGTCGGGTAATCCAGATAAACATGATCAGACGTATAGAACAGATGGAACATCTGTTTACCTGTGGACTCGGCGTTACTCTAGGAGAGTGACAGAAACTACCAATACCTTGAGACTCAATTCTAAGCTTTTTTGACGTCAGCTCTATAAGCTCCTTCTACACACGAATATTTGGAGTTGCGGCGGCCCGCTTCCGAATCTCCTCCGCATCTGAGCAGGCAAAACCACCAAATGATTACACCACCACCCTCCGAATCATTCTCACACGCACCATCTACTTATTTACCTCCCAGGTCAGGCGTGCAATTCATATTTCCATGATCACATCACGCCTTATCGTCCGCCCGATACTCTCTACCACCGTCGCTTTGACTACATTCATCCGCCCAGCAAATACCCCGCATTTGGGAATCTCATCGCATATAAGTGGAATCGCGCAGGTGCCTGCGAGGAAGATGCATATCTTGAGTATTCCAATGTGTACGCCAGCTCACAGCTTCACGGCCGGACTAGCAGTTGTTGCAAGTGGTTGAAGCGGAGAAAAAGTCACGGCGGACATACCTTTGAACCTCTTGGCTGCGGCTTGCGACAATAGGAAAGATTGCTAATAAATAATCTTTACGATTTAGGGGTTGGATCGTCCAACAATTATGCCTACTTGGTCAGCGATGATGAGACTAAGGATGCTGTGATCATTGATCCGGCGAATCCTCCAGAGTATGTTTCGTGCTTCCACAACTGTCAAGAAAAAGAGAAAGCAAAGACTGATAAGTATATCTCCCGTTCTTCTAGAGTCCTTCCCGTCCTCGAAGAGAAATCCAAGACGCTGAACCTTACGGCAATAATGAACACGCACCATCATTGGGATCATGCGGGAGGCAACAAAAAACTATTGTCTGCATTGTCTTCTCAACTACCCGTCATCGGAGGCAAGGACTGCGAAGCCGTTACACAGACCCCAGCCCATGGGTCAAAATTCTCGATAGGCAAAAATATCCAGGTGACTGCTCTACACACGCCTTGCCACACACAGGATAGTATTTGCTGGTTCATGGAGGACAAGTCGACAAGCGAGCGGGTCGTTTTTACTGGTGATACCTTGTTCATCGGCGGGTGCGGTAAATTCTTCGAGGGTAATGGTACAGAGATGAACAAGGCCCTCAATGACATCCTGGCGTCCTTACCAGATGATACCAAGGTTTACCCCGGGCACGAATATACCAAGTCCAACGTTAAATTTCTGAAGAAAGTTGACGGGAATAACGAGGCGGTGAAAATGCTGGAAAAGTTTGCGGACGAAAATAGGGAAACACAGGGTAAGTTTACCATCGGCCAGGAAAAAGCACACAATGTGTTTATGCGGGTGAAGACGGAGGAGATGAAGAAGGTCACGGGTAAAACGGAGCCCAGCGAGGTCATGGCTCAGCTGCGAGAGATGAAGAACGCGAGTTGAGGGGCAATCCGAGTTTGTTGCTGTCCATGGTGTTTGTATATGTAGTCATGATCTAAATAGTCAAGAGGCTGCTGTGATACGTTGGTGGTCATAGCCTTTCAGCTCAGAGCGGACTATCTGGATTGGTGTCAAGAACAAAAGCTCTACTATTCTCACAAATGTTAGATATACCTCCCTTTCCGCATTTAACGTGGTGTAATGCTAAACGGTTGTGCCAGTACAGGTGATCGGAATTCTGAGTCCGCTAGCGCTATAGATTCAGATGTATATATACTACTGTAACACAGTTCCTTCCGCAATCGACCATAGGATATGGAATACAGGGCTTCCCGTTCGCTCAGCCGTACTTAAGCCATATGCCGATCAGTTAGTACTACCGTGGGTGACCAGGTGGGAATCCTGATTGTTGATTGTTTTTGCTCTATTTGAATGGTATATTGGTTCTATATATCTTGTAAAATTGTGTTTTTGTTCGATAGATGTTGGCCGTTTCTGCGGCCTGAGCGCTGGGTCAGACTGTGCCAAATGATATGGTGGGGCGGAAACATGCCTGATTCGACCACGTTCAATCCTTGGTTTTGGAGTCACAAAGTGTGGCTGGCGTCTATGGCGCCTAATCCGGGAATCCTGGGCGCAACTTTCTCCCAAGTCGCGGAGTCCTGCACAGCAACTCTTACCTCTTCTGGGCGCCTGTATCTTTTGACCTTTTCGGCAGAACCTCAAAACGGCTTTTCGACGTCACATTATCAGATCCTGCACCACAGCAATTCAACGAGTTTCTCAGTCTAAGCAACGAATCGATCTGGAACAGATCCCTGAACCGGAAAAATCACCGAATTCAAGCTCACCTTCTTTGTTCCTTGAGTGCGCGAGATCCTCGACGCCGCCCCTCGTCAGTCTAATTTCCTCCGCATGAAACAAAACCTCCAGCCGACAAACCACACCGATCCTTTTCTCTCACCGGCAACGCCTCATCTGCGCTGAACCTGATTTCTTCTGAGACCAAATCCCGTTTTAATTCTGGTTTTTTGACAGTTCTCCACTGCGTCCGCACATCAACCTCTCAGTCTTGTTCTCAGTGTCCTCTTTGTGCAGTCCTCCGTTACCGCCACACTTCCAAACCGATGCGAGAACTACTCCCTCCACCCCAAGAAACATGTCTGGAAAATATTCTGTCGAAGATCTGTTGAAGTTGCGAGCATCACCGCTGATATGTAGACCTGCGAATCTACCGCCAATAGAGGAATGGATGGGGTATGGAACGCATGCCCGACTTTGTGGCTTCAGCAAGATAACAATGACTGACGTTACCCAGTGCGCAAGAACTGAGTGGCAGGAGGCCGATAGCTCGAGGAGTTAAAGAGGAGCAGCCTGTCGCAAGTGAACCTTTTCAAAAACGCCCAACTATAATCGACGCCCAACGTCGAACAACTACGGGTACGCCACTACGCATCTTTCCTGAACCAATCCAGCTAACGGAGAGTTCTTAGATCCCGACCGCATCGTTCTCGGTCCTCCTCGACGGTCCTTCGCTTCCAATGCCCGCGCCGTGAGCAAGTCGCAAGATCTAGGGGACGAGTTGGGGAATAATAAAGATCGATCAACACTGGGCGACAAATCCCGAAATGGCGAAGAGTCCGATTTCCGGCACCACGAGCGTAGATATACTCAAACAAATGGCCGCTACGGCAATCGTCAAGAGAGCGAAGATCTGGAGACAGAAGGTCGTCGTGAGTTCGACCGCAGGCCGAAATGGGCAGGGAGAGACAGAAATGATCAGGACCTAGACAACGATCAAACACAGGAAGATTCATCACGCGGCTTCAGGAGAGACACACAGTCAAGGGCGAAGTTGTCGCAGTCATGGTTTAAAAAGGACACCGGGGATGAGGCACCTGACTGGCGTCGCGATCGAGGCAGAGACCGTGACTGGGATAAGGATCGCGCTGCCAAAGTGGAGGCGGAACCCGAATGGATGGATTCTACCGAACCTGAGGAGCCGTTCCAGGCACGTACCCAAGAGGATTTCCAACGTTGGAAAGAACGAATGAAGGCTGGCAGCGCAGCGCCACCTGAAGCAGTCGAAACAGCTGCCACCAGTCCACCAGCGGAAGAGAAGCCAGCCAAGAGAGTCGTTTCTGCCGAGCCAGACGACTCGATGGATAAATTCTTCGCAAGATTCGAGTCAAAGACGACGGAACAAAAGGCTGGGCCCGCAAAGTCGCATGGCAAAACACGGTTTGCATCGCTGTTTAGTCCTGCAACGGAACAAAGCAAGCAGATCGAAATTCCACTTCAAGCTTCGTCCTCGGACCGGCCTTCATCCGCTCAAGCAACAGGCTCGGCGACAGATGCCGACCAAGCTGGATTCGCTCGCATTCTTGAAATGTTGCAGACACGAAGTAATAACCCCACTCCCCAAAATCAAGAGGGGGCAAAGCCGAGAACACCATTATATGCAAGAGCAGCTGAGCAAAAGACCGACCCTGAACCAAAGCCACCCCTGCCTGAACTCTATGCGCTGTTGAGTGGGCAGTTGGGAGGTCAAGCGTCGCAGCCTGAGCACGTCCAGCCAACTGCCCCTCCGGAGAGGTATACAGAGAGCAAATCTCCCAGCGAGCAACCCACGCACACACGACAGCAGTCGAGCATCACCAAAGATGAAGTTTTGTTGACCTTGCTCCGTCAAGCCACTCTGGCTCCAAAACCTCAACCACCACCACCTACTGGAGGACTAATGTTTGGCCTGCCTCCCGAGCCCAGTAACCGTCCAATGCAGCCAAGAGGGCCAGTGATCTCCCCGGTTCAGGCTCAACAAGATCCAATAATGGCACAGCGAAGAGAACCAAGAGGGCCAGTGTTTGATGATTCGCCGATTTCCATCTACCCAAACGAACAGACGCAGCGCGAACAGCCTGGTAGAAGGCCAACCAACGGCACACAACCCGTGTATCCAGACGTTCCCCTGATGACACTTCTGCGTGGCCAAACACCACAGAGACCACTGCAACCCACTCAACCACCTCAAGCACTCCCTCCGGGTCTTCAGCGTCCTCCTGGACTGGATCAGATGCCACGACAGAATCCGAGCTGGCCTCCCCAACAGCCCCAGCAGCCACCACAGCCTTCACGACAACCGTCACTCCCGCCTGGCTTGTCCAGCCTCCCTCGGGGGATGTCAGGGGGTCCATATGCTCAACCTCAGCAGCTTCCGAGTCAGCCGACTCTACCACAGCAGCAGCGCCCGCTGCAACCACAGCCACAAAGAAAATACACCGCTGATTCCTCCGGAATGCCTCCTAACCTTCCACCCGGTATTTACCCCCCTCCAGGCTTCATGAATGCGGGTCCACCGCCGGGCTTTCCAAGTGGAATGGGAAATCATCCCGCCGCAAGATTTGGTGGTGACCCGGGAGCGCAACAGCGGGCTTTCATGGAGATGTACGGCGAAGTTGGCGGCAGAGGGCTGGGACTAAGAGGAGGCGCGGGCAACTCTAATATGCCGCCGTATCGGTAAGGTGGAAAGGTAGAGCTGGGGGGTAGTCTATGAGCATGGGTTCTGCCCTCGGAAAGAAGATGCAAGCAATATGAATGCGACATTGCAGAGGTTGGAACAGATATGAGATGGTCGAATCTGCAGGAGCTTGGAGCTAGGTGGAGTTCAAATGATGGTCATCAACAACGAAACGGACTTTTGAGGGGAAATCGTCTGCATTGTTCCATGATACCCTTAGGGGGTTGTTTGCACGCCGACCAGGATGCTGTCGAAATCGCTGACTCGGCGGGGACCATGTAGTGCCTTCATCCTGGACTCACAGAACACGCAGGAGAGGTCAAAGTTTGAAAACTGCGATGAGAGACAACGATGAGCGCCCAGTGCTCTGTGATGAGTGCAGGGCAAGGAAAGCGTGTTGATATGCATTGGGAGGGGAAGAGAATCGCCATTCAAGAATCAAGTATCGAGAATCAAGAATCAGAGGAAAGTATTCAATCAATCAATCAATGCAAGTCAATTGTTCTGCTGCCTTTTTTCCCCTCCCTGTGCTGCCGTCACTTTTTTTTTGTGCTCGCCCTTTTCCACCTGTCCCGGACAGAGGATTGAATGAAAGCTCGCGCGATGTGTATATAAGATCGCCCTGGCTGCTTTTGGCTCTCGAACCAGATCTGGCTGACCGTGCGAGTATCCCGACTGTCTCCTCTCTCCTCGCCGCCGATGACATTCTTGTCTCAACGACGATGTGGATGAAGCACCCATGCGGCCATTTGGTCACTTACTCACTTCCTCACTCGCTTGCTCTCTCGCTTCTTTAGTCTCAATCACCCGACCCAAGAAGCTTTGCTCGAGCATGATCCTCCCCAAGAGTGACTTGGTTGCATATCACATCCAACGAGAAGCAGGATAGGTAGGGGTGATGGATGGTTCTGATACCGGTGTCGCTGGCGTGTACGCTGCAGTGAGATGATGTTTGTGTTTGTACACATGAATCCATGTCTGCACACCTGTGCGCACATGTGTTCCCCCTCAAGCCCGCTGTTGGCGTTTAATCTTCTCGACAAGTCTCTTGACATCGCTCGTTCCGTCACCCGAAAGCTCGTGGCGACGCGTGGACGCTTCGGCGTGCCCGTCCTTGCCGTGTCTGCTTCGAGCAGCACCGTCGCCACCGGACGCTGTATCTGGTTGCCGCGCCGCAACGCCGGTCCTCGCGTCCCCTTTGTGCTTCCTCCTCCGTCCTTCCTCCAACAATGCCCGCATCCCCTTCGTAGCCTTGAATTTCGGATTCGTCGGGTCGATCGCGTACTCGTGGCTCTCGAACAGTCGGGCGAAACGTGGATCCGATGTGTCCACTTTGAACCCATCCTGAGTGGCGTCTTCTGGAACCTTGGCCTCTTCAGCTCCGCCCTTGTTCGCCTTGCCCTTCTGCTTTTTGTTCTTCTTGCGCTCTTCCTTCTCGGTCCTCTGGATCTCGCGCATGTCAAAGTGCCTCACCTTCCGTTTGACT